TTCGCAGCCACGCGTAAATCTCACCTACGGGTTTATTAAAATATTATAGACATGACAAATGATAATTAAAGTCTGGCTGATGAATGTACCAATTACGTTAATGAGAAGTAATTCAGATTTAACATTAAAATAAATGTTTAATTCATTAAATTCAATGAAATGGTGTTGAACGTCTTAATTTTCTATTTCGACAGGGCTAATGAAACTTTACATACGCTATACAGTGTCCTATGAGGAAAATTGAACTCAGCAGTGCTACGTTATACTCTTATTACGACGAACGACTTCCAATTGTCAAGGGTTGTGATACGTTTACGCCAACATGTACACGGGACCGCAGTGTGTACACGGGACCGCAGTGTTTCGTCCTATTCAAATAACACGGCATGCACGATTGACGCGAGAGGAAACCACTCTTCAAAATACAGTGGAACGTTCTCGGCCATACCGGAACCGAACTAGAGCCTTAGTCATTGAGCAACGTCGACTTCCATATAAGGGGGGGGGGGTAATTAGACATTTGTCATCAATAAAATGCAAGCACTCGGAATACAATGCCAACAACTTTTTCCATTACATCACCGAAACGGACAATGGTACTGAATTTTTTACGGCCTTGGACAGTTCAAGATGAACGAGAGTCAGGGTGCGTTCATCAACTTGCGGGCTGAGTAAAGTAAACCAGTTCGAGGTTCCAATGTTTTCAATTAAGACATCCACTTCAAATATCCCAAATTTGGTTTATACAATATGTGATTCGAAATGAATAAGTTTTTCGAAATATTTCACATCTAATTTGATAGAATAAATAGAAAGCTTTTCAAGCCGGGGTTCATCTATACTGATTTACGTTTACAGAAACTATACAGCTGTACATCCCCTGATTTCACTGGTGTTGTATCTGAACTCATTCCTATTATTTATTTTACAAAAGAGATATATGAAGCCAAGGTGGGTTGTGTAAGCTTGTAGGTCGCGTGTTCCATCCATGCATTGGCCCAGAAAGTTCATCGGGATTTTTCCGACGTCAGGACGGAGGGCCTCTCAAGGACAGCTGTCTAGTCGTTCGGATGGGACGAAAAACCGAGGTCCCGTGTGTAAATTGGCGTACATGTAAAAGATCCCTTGGTAGTTGGAATTCGATATAAGAGTAGGCCATAGCGCCGCTGCCCGGGCAAAATCTCCATCATAGCACACTGTATGGTCTATGCCAGTCTTCATTGGCCCAGTAGGAGCAGGACAGTAGGACGTTAAACCCCATTTCGTTTCATTTCACAAAAAATGATAGGAGATTTAGGGGTATATCTATTATTGTCCTCACGCAGACGATAAACATTAAGTCGAAACGTGGAAAAACTGTGAAACATGCTCACAAACCTGTGAAAGTAAAGTAAATGTGCGACACTTATTCTTGTCAATATTTATTTAACAAGGGCTAAACTCTGTCTATTCTATGCTGGCAATCCCACTAACTTACACTATTGATTGTGTCTGTTCTCATACATAGACATATTGCTTACAAATTAAACGCCCAAAGGTGAGACACAAAGTGACAAATTAGACGTAACTTTAATGATGAAAACTGTGAACAACCAATCGTCTTATCTGGTACAAACGGGAACTAATTATATGTTAACATTGCTTAAACTGCATATGAAATGTCTTCAATTTTCATTTTATAAATAGCTGTCGCGTGTACACATTGGCGTGTACGTAAAAGATCCCTTTGCAGTTGGAATTCGATATAAGAGTAGGCCGTACAGCCGCTGCCCGGGCAAAATTTCCCTCATAGCACACTGTATGGCGTATACCAGTCTTCATTAGCCCAGGTTAGGAGCAGAACAGTAGGACGTTAAACTCCATTTCATTTCATTTTATAAATAGCTACATAGTTTAATACCAATATGAACTTTGCATTATCAATATATTTTAAACTGAATTCCACTCTTCTTTAGACTTGCCGACATTGGGTTACGTATGGCCGAGGGAATAACTTTACCTGGACAATAACGTCGTTTCGAGCTCAACGGTTTCAAATTGTAAATGTCGGGAAATATGTACAAGAGTTCAACGACCAGACAACTACAGTTCCGTTGAATCATTCCCTTGGTGACCAGTCTTGTAAAATTCGATATTTTATAATTAACTGATTTGGAACAAGACAAAGAAGTTACAATACCAATGCATTTACATTAAAATGAGAAATAGAAAGAACGCATGAGCGTCTCTTTTAATAATATATTACAAATGTTTCTTTATTAAACATGCATTATGCAAGAGCTAAATCAGCATATTGTAAGTCTTTATTTAGGCTTCAGATGTCATAGAAATTATTAATTAGACCTTTATTTACATGACAAGCTCGAAATCAACTCTGTAGACCCTCGGATGGCTTGGATACAGCTCGGATTTAAACAGTCGTCCATTTAAAATTAAATCAGTAAATTGATGACCAAGCTAACGTGACGTCGCTACCGGGAACTGGTGGTGAATGGCCTGTCAAGCGAGAGTACTATTGCTATTGAGAACGTTACTTGATATCAAGAATATGTGGATGGAGTTATCGCCTGTCAATCAAACGATCGTCAATTCTCGTAGACGGTGTAGACGCAGTTTATGCCTATTTCTAGTCAAAACTTAGGAACACTGATAACTCCGTTCAGAATAAAGTAATTGGACCGGAAGTTTCAATATTTTCTTTTTTATCATCTATTTTTGAATTAATATGGCAAGAATGGCCAACTCTTTATTAAACTCTTAACTAATGTATCTTTAAGATATGAATAGATTGTGAAAAGGCAATTTTATAATAGAATTGTACGTATGGCTAATATCCTATGTTCACTGCTACTAGTTTATAACGACGAGAGGGTGCTAGGATGTTTATTGGTGATCAATAAATGTTAAAGACGCAGATATATCCATATTAACTGTATCATGTTTGTTAATTGGTTCATTGTCTTTTTTTCTTAATATCCCATTCCTCTAATTCCAAATTCAATAACAGCTTAATAAGATACACGTATTTAACCCCTCAATCCTTAATGACAAATGGGGGTTGGCTGGTCGATAAGATACACGTATTTAACCCCACAATCCTTAATGACAAATGTGGTTTGGGTGGCCGAATGGTTAACGTATCTATTTTGTGTAATTACCAATTGTTTATATGTACTCATAATATATTATATTACTTGAATAAACATATTTACAAGACCAAAAAAACCCCAAAAAAACCCCAAAACGCGTGTGCATTGCATCATACGGCCTGTCAATGAGTCAAGTGGCGTGGTTTCGATTCCCGCTTGTACGTGACAAGGAGAAGGGTCGCCTGTCCATCCCCGTGGGTTTTCTCCGACTTTCCCCCACTGCTAAAGACCCCTACGCGCAAGCGAATTAATTAAATAAAATTGGACCATATTTTAGTCCCGAAATGACATGATTTGTGCAGTGTGGACGTTAAACCACCCCCCTCTCTCTCTCTGAATGACAAAACGCACTGTGTTTTAGAAACGGTGGTTTTTATAGTACACTCACGGTAGTCAATATTTTCACTGAATAGAATTTTAAAACAGTTTAGGGTTTTACACTTAAGTCGTTCAAAAGGGGATCTCCGAGATATATTAAAGCGTCTTAATACGTAAAGTCTTCACGTAATAATACAGATACATGTTTATTAATATTATTAAATCAGCTGACTTTATTAGAAATTGAACAAATACCATTCATGGAGTGAATGTTGAAAGATCGTCACATTTAAAGATCAGCATCAGGGGTAGAATTATCCGGTAGATTTACTTGATACAATAATTAATAACGCATCGAATGACCAAAATGCGATACATGTTGCGTAATATTAACTCCAAGGAGGCTTATAACATTTTGAAATCCGTGTCGTTACGTCTCTCAGTTATTACAATTGGCCTTTAAATCAGACGCCTCAAATCAAATGGTACCATTGTTGGAATATTTGTAGTGTGTCTTATGCTCGTTAATAAATCCCATTTAATAAGGAAGTGTCTGGAACCGGTTTTTTCTTGGTTTAATTATGTTTGTTCAATTCTTGTGTAAACGAAAAGGGAATACTTAATATCAATTTAATGGCATGTTGACAAATTGGTTAGTGTGTTCTTCCACTTTGAGCAATATATTATATTACTAGTTCCTCTCCTGTTCATTTTTAATATATTCATCAATGATCGAGAGAGAGGGAGACGGGGTTTAACGACAAAAAAATGGTCATGTTGAGACTAACATGTGGTTCAATTTTTATTTCACTAATTCGTTTGCGCGTAAGGGTCTTTAGCAGTGGGAAGAACTTCGAGAACCCGGGGGAAGAAACCACGCCACTTGACTCAAAGAAGACCTTATGATACAAAGCGTTAGCCATTCGCCCCACCCCCCTCCGTCGCTACAAATTTACAATTGGATTTCCAGCTGTATTGTTAATAATGTTGTTCATATGATCGGATCTTCGTGCCGACGTTCACAATTCGCAATATTGAAAATGGTACACCAACAACCTGTGTGTGAATGACTTCATCATAAGAAGTCGCTCGAAGAGTTTAATCGGCCCGGAACGGATATACAGGAGCTACTCATAGTCTCGTTCTTAATCTGCTTGGGTACGACGTTGTTCCATTAAAGGCCTTAAAGGCTCCGTCAATTTTACCTTTAACAATTCCGCATCGGTGGACGGGGTTAGATTTTTGGATGTGATGGCACAATTCCTTGTCTGTATAGTACTATCTTAATTTCCTTGTCAGCGGTGTAGGGGACAGCAGGGGAACGCGTATAGTCGTTCGGATGACACAAAAAGCCGATGTTCCATGTACACATTGGCGTGCACGTAAAAGAACCCTTGACAGTTGCAATAAGAGTAGACAAAATTTCATTCATAGCACACTGTATACCCGCCTTGTTTATCCCAGTCGGGACAGAACGGTTGTGTTTTTTCTAGACTTTAACCATGTTTAAAAATGTTTCCTTTTTTATTTCAGGCGGTTTTGATGATGATAGCTGTTGTTGGGATTTATGCTATTTGTTGGCTGCCATTACACGTAACAACAATAGTTGGTGACGTGCACCCTAGTATCTATGACGTAGATCACATGCGCTATGTTTGGGTTTTCGCCCACTGGCTGGCCATGAGTAGTTGCTCTTACAATCCATTCGTTTACTGGTGGATGAACTCGAGATTTCGACAAGGTTTTAGAGGCATATTAACTTTTGTGATACGATGTGGTTCAAAGGATGATAAAAATATGTTTGGACCCGATAAGTCATTTACGGAATTGAGTGCTAACACCAAACACGTATCAGAAACATGTGTCAGTTCGTTCAACCCAAAAGAAGATTTTATGTGAATAGAGAATAATTGTTGTTAAATTCCTTAGCTGAATCTTTAATTATATTAATCATAATCATTAACCTAAGTGGTTTTTTTCCAATGGAAGATTTAAAAGGGTTAATGCATTGGGTATTTATTGGAGAAAACATTTACATAACAATTAATGGTTTTAGCTAATCACCTTTTCTGATTGTTTTACATCTAACTGAAAAACATGAAAAACAGGACAGCGTGTAAATTATTTTGTTAATATTTATAAAACATTTGTAATAATTTCTTTACCTTTGTTCATCGTGACAGTATTCTGCTATTATGTTGTTGACATTAAAATACGGCGCATAATATTTCAAACTGAAGTGTAGCTTAGGAATGTTTTACGTCAAGTTTTTAAATGTTCTCCAACTTGACTACACCAGGTTGCGAATCCCGTGCCATTTACAGACCATTTGAACTTTTAAATGAACCGTTATAACGTAACATGGGGGTTTGGGAGGCCGAAAGGCGCGTTAGATCACACACGACCAACCACTCGGTGAGTCAATCTTCATAAACAATGAAAAAAACCAGACCAGAACGTTTTGATTTGGTTAAACAATAAAAATGATAGAATTTATGGGATTTTGATGTTAATTAATTTGTCGGGGGATAATCCGTGGAGATAAAACAAGCTGACTTCTGCTTTAATCATATAGAACTTGCCCAATCATTACAGCTGTAAACATGTTACTGATGTGTAGGCGTTTAATATATATCCTATTACATCGGCAGAAGTGCGACTAGTTGTTCGAAAGAAGTGTACATTCAAATACACATTGACATGCACGTTAAAGATCCATCGACAGACACGTTAAAGATCCACTGACATGCACGTAAAAGATCCATTGACATGCACGTTAAAGATCCATCGACAGACACGTTAAAGATCCACTGACATGCACGTAAAAGATCCATTGACATGCACGTTAAAGATCCATTGTTGTGCACGTAAAAGATCCATTGTTGTGCACGTTAAAGATCCATTACCAGTTGGAAATCAGAGATGAGTGGGCGGAAACGTATCTCCTAGCAAAATACAAATATTTTTATGTTTGTCCCAAAATAGCCGAATTATTGTGTTGTGTTAACACCATTCCGTCCATAAAAGTAGCCTGAGTACGTCTCAAGTAGTTACTCGATAAATTAGGTAGACACCTTTTTCCTTTGAACGCCATTAATTTCATTAACATGTCGTTAGTATTCTGTTTTCAGGCGAAGACGAGCTTTAGTAGTCGCTAATGGACGAAATCTATACCCTAAACTATTTTTTTTGTCAACACCGGTTTGCCCTAGGACAAGCAAGGTTTTCTTAAGTATTTCCGTATATAAAAGCCGACGTGAATCAGGAAGTTATGGGATCAAGGTCAGCAAGTGTAAGAGCAAGCATGCAAATAGTCAACATGTTAACATGTCTAGACAGCGAGTATTACCATGTTTATAATAATGGTACCCGGGTATAATAAACTATAGTCTTTTCTACCGATATTAGTCAGAAATGAATATCTGTCTACCTAGAATACTTTAAAATATAATTTACCCTTTGTCAGTAATTTGTAAAAAGGGTCTCGTGTTTGGGATTTTTTATAAATTTATTTATACTTTTATATCCAAAACCATTGTACACTGTTTATTTCCTGGTAAATTCAGGGTATCACATTTATTTCTCGTGTATTTTCAAACTATTAAACCCTTTGGCAACTCTCTATAATTAATTTTGATAATAGGGATTTTCTTTCTATTGTGTTTTGTGGTAGCACTTACAACGATATTAACGCCACCTGCAGATTTCGTAAAGGTCACGAGAAACAAACAGGGCTAGGGCACGTGATTGTTGCCGAGGATTGCGGGTTACGGATAAGTCTTGGATTAGGGAAAGCGGTAGCCCCATTTGCATCTCGTGACCTTGACGAAATCTGCAGGTGGCGTTCAAGTTTAGATCTGGCCCACTTACAACCCCGGTAATTACTACATACTGCGTTTAAAACGACACACGCCCCATTATTCAAATCGGCTAAATTTAACATCTAGACGTTTACATCACAATATTTTCCTTTTAAAGTAGCTAAATCTCTTAACTCAATGTCATCCAAAGTCTTACACGTTGAAAATACAAATTATTTGTCAATTCAAAGCAACATTGATGTTGTGATCTTACCAGGAAAAGCAAGCTTCTGATATCCAATATTTAAGACAAAATAAACATTTTACCATTGGTACACGAATCGTGTATCATAGTGCGTTTTAGCGTCATTTGCAACAAGTGACCAGAAAGAACGAGGCTAGACATATTCAACTGGAGAGCCTGCTCAATAGACTGGAATAACCAGACGCTAGAAATTGCTATAGGGTTGAGACACAGGCCGTATTTCGCTGGACATAACTTATTTGAAATTAAGAGTCAAAACGGAAACAATTGAATGTAAATCAGTTTATATACAATCAGATTACATTATTAGATGGGTTGCGACCCATTTGGGTCAATTTCTAGGCCCCAAATATTAGTGATTTAGCTCCTTTAAATAACAATTCTGATTTCTTTTCTTTGGTAATATACTGACAATGTGTGGACACGTTTTTTGCTTAAATTCGTGTAATTTGAAATATCAGTCTTAATAGTATAAAAATTCGTTCGTTATTTCAAATTGTTTCATATTATTGTATTGTTTTGTTTTGTATAACAAAGTTACTTGAACGCTGAGAAAAACAACTAAAACAGTTCTGTTTGATGAAATAGTAGACAATGTTTCTCGTATGAATTAGTATATGGAAAACCAACGGCAATGCGATCTATCCATTAGTTATTATGTACTGACCAATTTGAAGCAGCCATAATGAAATCAAGCTAATATTCCCTGTTATCAACTTACATTTCATTCCACTATCAAACAGCAAAAAAACCCCAACAAATAACAGTAACAATAATGTTCCGTTAATAGCAAGAAATATCAAGAAAAATCTCAACGTTTTAGAATCTTACAGAGAATCTCATATCCCATTATTCTATTCAAACAGCCCGAACCCTAACGCTATATCCCATTACCAAGTGGACTATTCAAACAACAAAAGTTATTTAGACGCTCCCCTCGACGATCTATATATACACAATCAGCTAGTGATATGACATGTGTTTTTAAATTACGCCATGCCTGAGGAATAACAAAATGAATAACCGAAAATAAATACTAATCTAAAAGTATTGGCTAGTAAGCCAGATCATCACATTCTTTATGTATACGCTCGTAGCAATAAATAAAGCCGAGCCTGTCGAGTAAAGCCGAGACTGTAAGAGAGATTAATAGACATATTGTTATTGAAGCAAAGAATTTATGTTCTAAAACCTTTCAGCGGAAGCGGGAGATGTAAAAGACCACCCCGCCGGAAACTGGCCTCAAACTCGTGCGTGACGCATTTCGGTTAATCATAGCAATAGGCTACTTTATGGAGGCTTGGGAGAAATAAGACTGGTGTATATTATACACATATATGGTTTCAATCTGTGGAATACATGTTTGAACTGTGCTAAATAATCTCTCTTGTTTTTCCAACAATATCACCCAACTAGACTTGAAATCTGTAATTTATAAAGTCTGTTAAATAATTTTCAGCTTTAAATGAGCTATTTCTCTATTTTTTTGCAACTAGAAATAGAAACATGTTCGAAGGATATATTTTAGATTGTCTGGTTATATACAATCGGATTAAAACACAGATCCTATTTCGTTTCGTTTTATATAGTTCAAAATTTCGTTTTACTTATCTTTACTACACTAGGACCCGGAAGAGTTTTTATATCACCCCGCGTTCTGGTTGATGTAAGAGATTAGCATCAAGTTCTCGGCGTGCAGTGCAAGGAACTGTGGGTATCCCACTAGAAACATCAACGCTGATTTGTTAATCAAATGTCTGACGTCATTGGGTCAAACACCGCTTGTATGACCCATTACGCGACCCCCCACTATAGGCATGGAAAGTATAAAAAAGAAACGATATATAGATCTGTATTGTAATCAGATTGGGTTATATATTTAAAAATATTTTATTGTCTGTTTTAATGTTAATGTGTGGGAAGTGTCTTCCTTATATTCCCCAGAAAGACGCATCGTTATAATGACAAACCTATATAGATATCTTCAGCCCGGGGCATTTGATTAATAGCTGATGTATTTCACAGGAACGTCATTATTCAAGGATATGCCGTAACAGTTTAAAAGTGATTAAACATACTACGACAATACTTGGGTTTCTTATTCCCTTCAATACAATCATAATAATTACAACGCCCAGTGGACGCTTACGACTCTTACTACGTACATTTCATCCCATCCCACCGTTATGAGCCCACACAATACTACGCCTATGTGTTTTCTTAAAGCTTGAGAGTTGAACTGAGTTTTAGTCAATTTACAGGTTCTAATCTATGTGTGGACCAAAGAAACTTATAATTTAGGTACATGTATTTTATTATTCGGTTGTTTTATGGCCTCGTAGGTGCATCGGCTGTTTTCGCTAATTGCTTACCAAGGTGCATCGACTGTTTTCGCCAATTGCCTATCAAGAGTTACGCACAGGGGATGGCCATCAGCATGATGTACGGCCCCAGACGTTATAGCGGTTATGATTGTTTACTTAGGTCAACAATAGCGGTTCATCCAGCGTAGCACGAGTATAGTCATGAGCCGGAAGTAGTATCACCGGAAGGGGGGGGGGTCCATCGCCAACAGGCCTATGTTACTCCCCGGTCCGAACTACCTCTATACACCAAATGTCAGCCTCTGGACAGACAGCCTTAGTGTAGCCACCAACCTGAACAGAGACACAAATAAACAGACATTCACAGATATTAGTATTCCATAGCATTCACCATGATTCTCTATGATTACATTTTTGTTTTAAAATATCTATCTGCATAGATAGTAATTTAACATGTACATGTAATATAGATAAAATCTAATGGTCGAAAAGTCTGCAGCTGACAAAACGTTGCGTGGTTGATATGGCCTTTCCAAAATGTGCACTCTCCGCCACAAATACAAGGCCTAACGCCCTT